AAAGTAACAGCCTATCTTTAAATAAAAAGTTGAGCTGAGGAAAGCACTCCAGGCAGAGGAGACGCCCAGGAGAAATACAATGTATATAGTAGCTCTGGGCTGCTTCAAGGGTCACATCTACAGAGATGGCTGGGGAAGAGGTCTTGAATGTGCAGAGATGCTCAGGTGACCACAGATGCTTTTAGGGTGGCCACTGGCCAGCCACTGAGCACTGCTTAGCAGGGAAGGGACAGTGAGTGCTCAGGGAGTGAAAATGACCAGGGAAGAGTTTGGCTGAATGTAACATGAAGGGGCCTGCTTGTTGGGGTTTATGTCCTGCCCAGTTCCCCACAGCTGGCAAGCCCCCAAAGAAAATCACACAGAGGTCTCCATAAGTTGTAAAACTGATTGGCCTATTAGCTCAGGCTACTTATTAGCTCTTGTTGCTTATATTAACCCATTATTCTTATCTATGTTACCCACATTACTTGGTACCTTTCTCAGTGGGGCAGCTCACATCTTGCTTCTTTGGTGATCTGGGCAGAACTGCGGAGGGAGCTTCCTGCTTCCCAGAATACTCCTGTTCTCATTGCCTTGCCTCTACTTCCTGTCTGGTTGACCCACCAATACTTCCTGCCTGACCAATCAGTGTTTATTTAAAACATGATTGACAGAATACAGACAATTCTCCTGCACCAGTTGAAGTTGAGCTGGGATGGCGATGGCACCAAAATGAAACAGGGCAGCTGACTAGAAAGCAACCTTCATTTTCCTACCATGAATAACAGGGATGGCATCTGTTGGATCCTAGAGTCCAATTACTGAGGAGGAGTTGCCCCAAGAAAACACTCTCACACCACAGTTGATGTAAAAGCATGAGGATTTAATTAATTCTGTTGTGACAGGGTCTTTCAGAATTCGAGAAGCCATAAAGACTCCGAATAGCTGGTACAGGCTACTTTTAAAGTAAAAAGCCACAAAAACAAGGGGGAGTCTGGGAATTGTTCTTCAACTATTAGGATTGGCTGATTCAAAGGGCTACTAGCAATGATTGGTCTGAGCCAGGGCGGGAGAGCGATTGCCAGATCAGGCAGGGTAAGGGGGAACATCTGTGGGTTACTTTGACCCCTTCCCAGGAACTGAGTCAACACTTAAGGGTTATCTTGCCCCTATTCCAATAACTGAGTTCTATTTGGCGAACATTCACAAGGATTTGGGGAGATGGAAAGTTCCCAACATTTCAGTACGTGTGTGGGTAATTGTTAGATTCCTGGTTCCCAGGGGAGGGGGGAAAGCACTAAGGCTGAGAGGCCTCAGAGTTATTTTAGAGTTCTACAGCATGTGAATGTCTTGAGTGTGGAACAAAATAATCAGAAAATTTCAAGTTTTAGGCAAACCTGGGCCACATAGCAAGATTCAGATACTAAAAATAAATAGATAGATAGATAGATAGATAGATAGATAAAATTAAATAAATTAAAAGGAAGAAAAGAAAAGAAATTTTAAGTGAAGGTCATAAAGTAGCTAATATTTATTTGTTGAATACAATGGCACATCAGGAGATTCTTCTTAGTTTTATGCATATATGTTTACCTAATTTTCTCTTAGTATGTTCAGAAATAGCAGACAATTACATTTGCTATATCAACTGGTTTTTCATTCATCTTTTCATTTGAGCTAGGGTCTTTCTATGTAGGTCAGGCTAGCCCAGCACTATAATCCTCTTGCCTCGGCCTCCTGAATGCTGGGATTATAGGTATCTGCCATCACGCCCGTCTCCATTTATCTTTTTGTATTCACTTCGATGTAGTGGCATTTCATTTGCGTTTTAATAAATAAAGCTTGCCTAAAGATCAGAAAAGCCCATGATTCCTAAGGTTATGTGCTATTACCACCAGCATGTAAAAGCCCAAGGCTGTTCTTTCTGAGTGCAGAAGGTGGAGAGTTTCCACTTGGCTCTTCACATCTAGTAACAGGATCCTTGGATAACTCATCTCATTCTGGTCCCAATAAATTACTCACCGAGGCCCAACTGTGTTTCTAGTTGCATGCCTTTCACTGTGAAAACCCTTTCCTTTCCTGTCATCCTGACCAATACCTTGAATTGACCTTGATATTTCTGAGGCCCACACAACATCTAAGGAGAAAGCTGTGCTCTTTATTCTTTCGTTTGTGTCTTTGTTAGGGTTTCTGTTGCTGTGAAGAGACACCATGACCACAGCAGTTCTTATAAAGGAAGACATTCAATTGGGATGGCCTACATTTTGAGAGGTTCAGTCCATTATCATCATGGTGCAACATGGTGGCATGCAGGCAGACATGGTGCTGGAGAGGTAGCTCAGAGTCCTACATCTTGCAGGCAACAGGAAGTGATCAGAGACACTGGGCAGTATCTTGAGCATATATGAGACCTCACAGCCTGCCTCAACAATGACACACTTCCTCCAACAACAATTAGAGTAGGCCACACCTACTCTAATAAGGCCATACCTCCTAATAGTGCCACTCCCTTTGGGGAGCGTTTTCTTTCAAATAGCCAGTTTGTATGTTCTAGACTGAATGATATTCAGAGAGAGAGAGAGTTGTATGTGATACAAGACAGAATCTCAAAGAGCTCCCTACTCCCCCTGAGAACTCTTTGGAAACTGAGACTGTGAATGCCCCAGCTCTTGTTCTGAGCTGTCTCTCTACCTGGGACCGTGACCAGGAAACATTTTTATATGTTCTGATATCATGCATAGCACTACATGGAAAGACCCTTATCACTGGTGTGAGTCTGCAGCTGACAACCTTCCCTTTGACCGTAAACGGAGTAAGCCATTCTTCAATATGAGGGACTTTCGACACTTTAGTTATTAGTTATAACACTAATCACCGTGAACACAAGGCATTGAGGCTCACACTGGTCCCAGCACGTGGGAGGCAGAGGCAGGAGGATCAGGGATCAGACTGTTGTCCCAGTAACTGGAAGGTGGAGTCAGGAGGCACAGGAGTCCCTCAGTTGCAGGAAGAGGTCAAGGACAGTTGGTTTGTACTTCATGAAATTCTACAAACAGAAAATAATCATTGAAAGTGCTGGGCATACCAGGTGGGAAGTGGTGCACACTTTGATTCCCAGCACTTGGGAGGGAGAGGCCGACAGATTTCTATGAGCTCCAGGCCAGTCCAGTCTACAAAAGTGAGTTCCAGGACAGCTAGAACTGTTCACAGAGAAACCTTGCCTGGAAAAACAAAACAAGACAAAACAAAAGTCCGGGGCACATAGAACAGATATACTATGACAAGAACAGTGTGTGTCCTTTGATAGCACGTACACGTGTGTGTGTGCAATGAGTCCCTAATTGAAACACATACCATTAATAGCTCTTGGTACGATAATACTATAGACCAAGGATCATCGACTTAGATTTAAGTAGGTAAATTAAAAGAAAAACAATTTGTCTGAGGAGAGTCCTTAGGGAGTAATGCAGACAGAGGAATTTGGAACATGCATTTCTATTTAAAGGCACTCAGAGCCAAGGTAATATATGAGATAATTGTGCAAAGAATTAAAAGGCTTTAGAGGACGGATTCGGCCTTTTGCAGTCTTGCATCACATCCCGAGGCCATCAGCAGACAGCAAAACTCCACCATCAAAGCAGCGTCTCAAGGTTACGACTACACTCACTGATCACAGCTACATGCCCAGCTCCTTTGCTTTTTTATCATTCAAAAGTAGGTCTATCACACAGCACAGATGAAGTTTTGTATGACATGGGGTGGAAAGCTTGGGCGCCATAGTTGGGAATGTAAAACAGCATAGGACACTGCCTTTCATTTCTTTTCCTTACCCTATTTACATTATCCTACTAGTAAGCATGGCATTACTATGTAATCCAGTAACTTTGCTTCTGAGTGTATACCCAAATTACTGAAAGCAGGGACATGAAGAGATTTTGTGCACCCATGTTCATAGCAGCAGCATTCATGATAGCCTAAAGTCTAAGACAATCCAATGTCCATGGATATATGAATAAATTAACAGAATGCTATATATGTAAAACATTATTCTATTATATATATTTATTTATTTATAAACCCAATTCTATTAATCTGTGTATTGCCACATGGTTGTGGCCTACTGGTGAGGTTCTGCCTGGCTTCCGGTGTCTGTCTCCTGCGACTGCTACATGGCTTCTCTCTGACTCCACTCTCTCCTCCTCTATCTGCTTGGAACTCCTGCCTTGCCCTATTCTGCACTTCAATAGGTGCAAAGCAGATTCTTTATTAACCAATGATGTTCACAGTATACAGAGTGGAATCCTATATCAGCCATCCTTCAAAGGAATGGACATTATGACACATACTACAACATGGATGAACCTTAGAGATACTGTAAGTGAAGCACCCCAATCATGAACGGATAAATGGTATATGATTCATTCACTCATAATAAGTGCCTGGAATAATCAAATTTATAGACACATAAAGCAGAATAGTGCTTTCTAAGGCTAAGTAATATGGGATGTTTGTTTAATTGATTAGAGGGCTTTGATTTAGGAAGATGAAAGACTCACTGGAGCTGAATGGTGGTGATTGTACAACAATTTGCTTGAACTTAAGACCACTGGGATGTGCACTTACACAGGAAGAATAGCAATCTTTTCTTGTATATTTTAGTACATTAAAAAGCGTGGTGGAGAGGCTGAAAGACAGCTGAGATGGTAAAGGTTTCACCTTGAAGACATGAGTTCCGGTCTCAGAACTGACATAAAGAAAAAAAAAAAGGCCTGGTCTGGTTTGGTGGCCTGTGCCTGTAATCCCAGAACTGGGGAGCAGAAACAGGTGGATCCCTGGCTCCCTGGCACTCACTGGTCATCCAGACTAGCTGAACCAGTGAGCCCCAGGCCAATGTGAGACCCAATCTCAAAAATCAAGGCGGACTGCTTCTGATGAAAGACATCTGAGCTTGACTTCTCGCTTCCACCTGTACGTGAACACACACACACACACACACACGCTGGAAAGGATAAAACACCAAAGTTTACACTTTTCCTCAATTATCCTGTTACTCTGGTGTCATACTCCTACAGAGTATCTCTTAGCGTGTGCAGTAGCTTTGAGAACAAAAATGACAGGAATGCTATATTTCACATGCTGTCCAGGAAATCATTGCTTAGGCCAGGCATCAAGTACATGCTGGTTATTTCAGTCCTTGGGAGACGGAGGAAGGAGGACCATGAGTTCGAGGCCAGTCTCAGCTACATAGGGAGCCCCTGTTTCGAGGAAAGAAAGCAAAAAAGGCAAGCATGGTAGTACATGCCTCTAATTCCAGACTCGGGAGGTGGAGGCAGGAAGATCGCAGATTTGAGGCCAGCTTAGACTCTAAGGAGATCATAATAGGGCCTTGCCTCAAAGACAAAGCAAAGCAGAGCACAAAAACCACTTTGTCTATGGTCTATAGACGTCAGTGACACATCAAATCACAACCAACCACGATCTAATTGCGATTTACCACTGGGCCTGTTGTATTAAGAAATGCAAAACTAGCTTACCATGAAAAATTCAATTTATGTAAATCATTGTGTTAACAGAATTTAGAGAAAATTCTTCATCATCTCAGTAGGTGCAAGGAAACATTTAGTGGTTTCTAGGGCTCATGTCCAACACATTTCTCAGAACACAGACAATAGAGGGGAACGTCCTCGAATTAACAAAGGGTGTCACATTCAGTTACCGAATCCTGAGTGCTTCTTGCCTGTGAGGAGTTGGGATGCCAGCTAGCACTATGTCTCTTGAATACCAGACTGAGAGTTCTCAGAATTCAATACTGTGACAGGCCCCCAGACATTAACACTACTGATGCCATGCAGATAAAACCTGTCATGTAGACCCCAACACCTGGCAAAATCAGACCTAGTCCATAGTTCCAAGAAAGTCCCCCGGTAAAAAGTTTCTTAATGTACTAAACTAGTCATGCCTTTTGGTTTCCGAAGTTCTGCTTTGTGCTACCTGGAGTGTGCCAACCAGGATGCAGGTTTTGTGCACAAAAGACAAAGAGTTGTAAGGCCTGGGGCTGCACGACTTGGGCAAGTTACTCACGTAGTTGCTGACAAGACTTTCCTTTCCTCTCGAAGATCTCCATGTGGGGGTCTCTTGTGGGCTTACCTCACAACACACCAGGACAGAGAAATCAAAAGCAAACCGATTGAAACGGAAAGGAAGCTGCCTTTATTTTCAGGTGACTCGATTACATTTGCAGGAAACTCCAATCAGGTTCTAGATCGGTACAAAAAAAAGAAATAAATGAACTGTAGTTTGATGCCAAGTCATTTGGGAAATCACATTTATAATAGAATAAAGTATCAAATGCCTTGGAACAAATTTAGGGACATATGTAGAAGAATTCTACATTTAAAACTCTAAGTACGACGTTGCTGAGCTGAAAAAGACCTACTAGAGAGTCTATTTTCAAAGCTAAAAGGCTCAGCATCATTAACACGTCAATTATCTCTGAGTTGATCTGCCGATGTAAAGCAGCTGTTAGCAGTGTAGGAAAGGGGCAAATTTGCTCCCTGGTGGATATTTGGTGGTACATGGAGACATTTTTGGTGTCACAGCTTGGGGAAGTGCTAGTGAATAAGAGCCCAGGTATTCTCTGAACACCCTGCAAGGTACAGAGCAGCCCCGCAGCCCCCTTCCATAATAAATACTTGTCAAGCCCTAAACTGCATTAGTGTCAAACTTAGTGGACTCCTGACTCCAATCCCAGGTTATTTTTAGGCATCAACACTCTCATCCTAGTACTAAATAAAAAAATATAAATTATTTGGGGTCAAGAAGACCTTGTTTAAAAATAAGAAGCTGAAGGAACTGCAAAATCAGATTCCAGGAAACTCTGTAAAATACAATAATTAAGACCATCTGAAATATGTCCATATAAAGAAAGAACCCAACAGAGCAGAACTGGAGACCAGAAATAAATCTACACATATGCATTTACCTAATTTCTACTATTGCTTCTGTTGTACTGAGGAGCGGATGCGTCTTCTAATAAATTATGCTTAAGGAATTAGAAATAGTATCTTAAAAAAAGATTACCTCACATTTTATATGGTAAAATGACAAATTAAAATATCATTAAAATTGAAATTGAGAATCAAATAGATGGCCAACATTGTAGAATTTTAATATAAAATAGAAATGATGAGATACGTGTATTTACCAAGCATCCCGTGGTCCTGACTGCGTGACAAAGCTTGCACTACGAGCCAGGCACGCAGAAATTGCTAGCAAAGTTCTTCTCTTGGCAAAGAGGGAAGTGGAGGAAGGATTTCCTTCCTAGCAGCTACCGTTGGCTTCGAAGGATTGACTCTCTGTGACAACACCAGGAAGAAAATGGCATCAGTCAGGGTCCTCCAGAGAAACAGGAACAACAGGAGCCGGACAGAGATGTAAGAAGAACTTTATTCTGGGAATTGTTCCACACAGTCATGGGGCCAGAGCTCCAGTGAGGCAAATGGTGTGATTTAGTCAGAATCCAGGGGCTGGAGAAATGAGGGGAGCTGTTAGCTGATTCCCACGCTGAGGCCCCAGGCCTGAGAACTGAAGGGCAAAGGCATGTAGTCCTTGCAGCCCCATGGACCAAAAGGTTGGATGTGCAAGGACAGAAGATTGATGTTCCACATCAAGAAGAGGAGATTTGCTCTTTCTCAGGCTTCTGGCTCTATCTGAGCTGGTAATAGTTTGCAGCTACCAACCTGATGGCTGATCTTTTTATTTAAAAAAAAAATTTAGGTTATTTTGTTTTATTGTATGTGTATTGAATGTTTTGCCTTCGGGTATTTATATGCACCCGGGGTGTGTATGGTGATCATGGAGGCCCAAAGAGGGTGTCAGAACCCCTGGAACTGGAGTTACAGATGGTTGTGAGCCACCATGTGAATACTGGGAATTGAACCTGGGTCCTCTGCAAGAGGAACAGATGCTAATCACTGACCCAACTCTCCAGCCCACAGGGCCGATCTTTCTGCGGCTTACCTGCCCGCTTCTTCCTGCGCCACCCTCCCAGGCATGCCCAGGAACAGCGCTGTATTATTATCTGGGCGTTCTTGAGCCCAGTCAAGTTGACACACGGAGTTATCCATCAGAAGCATAAAGCAGGGAAACGCACTCCCGTTTTAGGATCACTAAGGATTACGACTCCAAAAGCAGCGCTCTCCATCACGCTGTGCTTTGGCCGGCTGCAGAGAGTCCACCCGCTCACGAGCAGAGACATATAAGTAACACGAGAGGAACGAGAGGAACACTGGCAAAACAGCAATGATAGGTCTCAGGACCCTCTAAGTGCCAGCTATCTAGTACAAGAGAGATGAATTTCGTCTGGGGGAGCAGGGGAGCCCTTTGTACTCAGGCCTGATTTCCACATCGTTCCTTTCAGCCCAACATATGTTGAGTACATGGCCACTCAGCGCTGCCTTATGAAGCAATTGAAACAGACACCGGAGAGCGAGTTTTGGAATGGTCGCCTGTCACTGAAGGAAGGCGCTACAAGTTCTCAAGCCTGCCTTTAGGGAATCTTCGCGATGTTTAACGGCCTGTCTGCCGGCAGCCATTTGTATCACGCTGCTGGCTACAGAAAATTGAGGGTCTTCTGGTTGTCATTGCTCAGGATACCACCTGCTCAATAAAAGCGTGCTGATATCGGAATGGCCAGCGTTCCCTGAAGCCTGGTTCAAATGCCTTCTGAGCCCTAAAACTGACAAACAGCAGTTCTGTGCGGAGAGAACAGCTCTGCTGAGGGAAGACGAGTGGAGCTGCCAGCGGCCGAAGCGGCGGGGCTCAGCTTGAGCAAGGGTTTCCCGCTCTGCCCAGCGTCGGGTCCTGGCGCATAGGTGCTTATACATATACCCGTGGTGCGTGAGTGACGAAAGGCATTCAGCGAAGCGTGAAATGAGCGCCACCCATCATCATGTGCCCGCCCCATTTAGTAGTTTGTCCTTCCTCACAAAAGACTTGGTAAACACGGGAGCCCTCACCAAGAGGCAGGTTGAAGGTAATACTTCTTCTCAGCAACCACTTTGATCTTTTGTCCCTTTTTTTTTCTGTCAGAGTGATTTATTATTTATTTATTTTTCTTCTAATAAAGAATATTTTTTATTTTATTTTTCCACTCAAGTATTTACACTTCTTTCCCTCCTCCCAACCCCCTCCCTCTCCCCCATACCCCCTCTTCCCTCTCCCACCCTGCTTGAGAGAGGGCAGGGAACCCTGCCCTGTGAGAAGTCTAAGGCCCTCCCCGCTACATCCAGGTCTAGGGAGCTGTGCATCTGTATAGACTAGGGTCCCAAAAAGCCAGAACATGCCGTAAAAGCAAGTCCCAGTGCCTTTATCAATGGCTTCTCAGTCAGCCCCCATTGTCAACCACAATCAGAGAGTCCGGTTTGATTAAATGCTCATTCAGACCCACTCTAATAGTGAGCTCCCATTAGAACAGGCACACTGCCTCAGTTGGTGGATCAATCCCTCACTTCCATGTTCGTCTTCTCCTTCCTTCTGCCTTTCAACTGGGCCTTGGGAGCCCAGTCCGTTGCTCTGATGAGGGTCTCTGTCTCTATCTCCATCCGTTGCCGGACAAAGATTCTCGAAACAACCTAGATGCCCCTCAATGGAAGAATGGATAAAGAAAGTGTGGAATATATATACATCAGAGTACTACTCAGCAGTAAAAAACAATGACATCTTGAATTTTGCATTTCAAATGGATGGAAATAGAAAACACTATCTTGAGTGAGATAACCCAGACCCAAAAAGATGAATATGGTATGTACTCACTCATTTGTGGACTTTAGCCATAAACCAAGGTCATTAACCCTATAGTTCACAAGCCCAGAGAAGCCAAATAACAAGGTGAACCCAAAGAAAAACATATATAGAGCCTCCTGGAAATTGGAAGCAAGTAAGATTGCTGGGCAAAAGTTGTGAGCATGGGGGAGGGGAGTGAGATTGGGGGAAAGGGAAGGGGGGAGAGGGAAGGGAGAAGGGAAGGACTGGCAACAGCTTGGGGGAGTGGGAGGGTGGAGATGGAGGAAGGGCGGATATAGGAGCAGGGAAGAAGATACCTACATTAAGGGAGCCATTTTAGGGTTGGCAAGAGGCTTGGTTCTAGAGGGGATCCCAGGTTTCCACGGGGATGTCCCCAGCTAGGTCCTTGGACAGCAGAGGAGAGGGTGCCTGAACTGTCCTTGCCTCACTATCACACTGATGATTATCTCGAAGATCTTTTGTCCCTTTAAGATTCAGGGAATGAAGCTAATGTCCCTGACTTGACAGGGCTCGGTGGGAGGCTGAAATGAGCTGGAAGTGAGGGAGTCCGCAGTCATGTCTTTAGGCATTGTTGGCATCCGCTAGCTACCTGTGTTTTAGTTCTCGGCGTACTTCCGTACTTCCGCAGAGAGCAAGACGTGGGATCTGAACACACACGTAGACTCAGGCACAAAACAGGACTGAGCAGGATCGCTGTGCTGTTCTCAGTCTGGAGGTGAATGGAAGGAAGGATTCAGGAAAGAATCTGTCTACCAGGAAAAGGGATGGAGGGACATCAAGATAATGTGGTCTGGGCACTTTGAGAAGCCAGTGTGATCTAGCCCAGGAGTTCAAAGCAAAGATATATAAATGCATGGAAAATAATAAGAAATGGAATCATGGGAGACTCCTATCCTGGGATACTTTATACCTGCCTTAATTAGCTAATTCAATTTACATGTAGATTTGAGTGCAAACGGCACATTTGGAAAACATTGTATGTGGGATTATGCTGTGGAAGATAGTAAACAATTAGTCTGGAGATTTGTATTGGTGTGCTTAGGCCCAGAGCAAAACACCAGAGGCATTCTGAGTGACAAAACAAATGTATTTCCTTCCAGATCTCAAGTCTGAATCCTAGATTGGGGACTGATCCACAGTCAGCTGAGGGCTCTTCCTGACCTGTAGATGAGCTGAGCTACCTTCCTCTTTAGTATGCTCTCTAGACAAACAGAACACCCTTCTCTCTCTCTCTCTCTCTCTCTCTCTCTCTCTCTTTCTCTCTCTCTCTCCCTTTCTCATACACACACACACACACACACACACACACACACACAGGCACATGTATACCATGGCACACTTGCGAATGTCAGAGAATAATAGCATTGGGTGTTGCATTTTGCAGCATGCTTGAGCAGGGTGTTTTATTTGCAGCATTGGATGTTGCATTCTGCATCATGCTTGAACAGGTCACATATGCCAGACCAGCTGGTACACAAGCTTCCAGGAATTCTCCTGTCTCAGTTTCCCACTTCACTGGAGTAGTACTGGTGTTACAGATGCAGTATTACAGTGTGCTACTGCATCTAGTTTTTACCTAGGTTCTGGGGATTCACCCTTGCGTGATAAATGCTCTACCCACTGAGCCCTCTCCCAAGCCCTATTGCGACTTCTGGGGAGGGGATCAATAATCACCACAGAGCCTCACCTTTAGAAGCTCATCCAAATCTAACTTCCTCCCTAAAGGCCCATCTCCAAATACCAATATATTGGCTTCAGTGTGTGAACTGTGGGGAACACAATGCCATGGCAGAACTGTCAGGATAATCAATGAGCTGCTTGCCCTGTATTTACCCTAGGTGAATGTTCTTCAAGTCTGATAACATTTTTCAGTGGAAATAAATTACTTAAGCGCTATAGGTTTGGTATGTTTTATTGTATAAGTATACACATGCACACACACGCATGCACGCACGCACACATGCATAGCATGTACAACCTAAAAGCAAAATCAGTCAAGTGAAGTGGGAAAAATGTCCCCACCTGCCACTTAGCCATGCTCCAGCTCTTCCATGAGAAATAAGCAATTACTGGAGTGGCAGGAATGGTGTCATCACGAAAAAGTTTAAGGATGCAGAGGGATTGCTTAAGGATGCATGCAAAGCTCTGGGTAGGGACACAAAGAACCAGGACGCCACAGCTCCCACCACAGCCCTCAGCAACGCTGCTTTCATCTGCCCTGCACTGAAGGAGAAGTGTCGTGGGTGAGGGAGGGAGTAGAGAAGCAAACAGGAGTGGAAGAGGGAATGGAAGGGAAGACACAAAGGCAGCTAGTTCATCAGGGGCGAGAAAGCAGAAATAACAGCCGGCAGCCCACAGGGGGAGAACCACACTTCTCACCCAGAAGCACGGGGAGCTCTGGATGGGCCCAGCGGCAAGGAGCTAATCGCAAGCTTTTAGGAAGAAGTCCCGAGAGGCAGAGGCAGCGAGTGTTCACAGAGCTCAGGTGGCTTTACTGCCTCTGTTGTGGGGGCAGGAGACAGTGTCTGCCATGTATGGACGCAAGACTGTTGGCTTCCAGTTAAGATGACGTAAGGTCAGTCCAGGAAACAGGGTGAGGAAGTGTTAAAGAGGAACTGATGAGTGAGGCGAGCTGGGTCATGGGGCTCAGCAGGACTTCTGCACTGTGGTCCGTAAGGAGCCAGCCTCAGGTCTCACCACAATCACCTCTTCTCACTGCGAGCCCACATAGCAACTGCCTTACTTAGTTCTTCCTAGCCTTCATCCAAATACTCATGAACCTTGAGAGAAGACCAAAAGAGAGAGGAAGGAAGAGGCCGATGGGTCAGGAGCAGGAACTGAGAGAAGTTGGGAGGCAAAGCAACAAAACAGGAGATAATGTGGCCGGACGAACCACCAGCCTTGAAAAAGGCAAGAGCTGTGTCCTGAAGAGCCATGTCCCTCCGTGGCCTTGGACCTTTTCCTGGGCCACACACCACAGAGAAAAGAAAAGAAAAAAAAAAAAGATCCAGGCCAGATTAGCCTCATTTCGTCTTCTTCCATGCTATAATTCTGATCAATAAGGGGATAAGAGGGCAGCATCCATGACTGACAGCAATAGAGTGAGCACTGTGTAAGTCCGTTCTACACTGGACGACTATGGCATCATGTTTACTGGGAGGAATGTTCTGCCTGGCTCGGCATTTTTACAGACAGCATGGCTGAAGGCAAAGAGGCTAGGCTTGTCAAGTGCTCAGTCAGGAGGTAGCTCTAATAAGTCAGCCCTGAGAAACAAGAGTCAAAGAGATCTGGACAAGCTAGGAAGGACAGATCCAACTAACAAGATGAAATTCAGGACCCATGGTTAAGTTCAAGCAAATTAGATGCACTGGGTATCTTGATTCCGTATGTGAAAGATGAAAGCCGTGGTCTGGGTTGATTGCATACTCGATATAAATGACTAGCGTGGCATATTTGCTATAAAGAAACGGGGGAGGAGGAGCCACCTAATAAACTGGTCAGAGCCAAAATAAAGGCTATAACTATCCACAGTCATCTCACTGGAGATGCCTGAAATGAAGCAAATATCACTTGGAAAAGATTACTGAGGTGGGGGGCTGGCAGGGGAGAGACTTGTGGCAGCTGGAACGGTCTCTCTGGAGGGAAAATGTGCAGACGCTATGGGAAGAGGAAAAAACAGTCACACGAGAATATTTTCAAGTGACAAGAGAAGACTTGATGGACCTCGTGTAACGGCAAGTGACAAGGATGGACACTGCGGACAGAACGTGTCCTTCTCAGCAGGCATTAGAGGTCCCCGGCATGTGATAATGGAGTTTCTGTGCCGCATCCATGAAGGGATACTGTGGAAGGGACCAGAGGGTGCACTAAGTGATGCTAAGGGTCCTTCCACTCTGCTTTCAGCCACCCACGCAACAGGTATGTATTGAATTTCTATGACCTGTACTTAGAGTCCTGAACATGACTAGTTTCTCATCTTGGCACTTATGTACAGTCAATGGAAGAGACAGACAGCGAACAGACAGACAGACCTATGTGCATAGTGCTATGTGGGAAACAAATGGACTCTCCCAGACAGAACAGCAGCCCAAGGGGCTCTGTGGAGATGTCCACAGGGCAAGTGTGGCAGAGGTATTGCTTAGGTTGAGGTCTCAGGGGTGAGAGACTGGGCCCTTAAAGAACTGTGAAAAGTAGGGGCTGATGGTGATGGATGAACAGAGGCCTAAGGACGAAGGGAAGCTTGGCATTGAAGAAAGTGAAGGCGGATGGGGTAGGCATGGGGCAAGCAGGTGGCAGGATTGCAGTGGGTAGGAAGGAAACCTGGGCTGATCCTATGAA